TTGCAAATGTAGTAAAGAAACTGGATTTGTCGTCTAAAACCACGTGCCAGAATGCCGAAGAGTGGTCAACCTTCGTGAAACACGTAACTTTGGCCAAACGCGGCAAAATATTTTCTAAGGTAGGTAGCGCGTAATGCTCTCTGCGCAAGGACTTATTCAACGGTTTTGGGTTGTTACGTACACGCAGTTAGCCCATCTTCTTCGTAATGATTGCGACCTGACTAACCCAGTCGGCTGGCTCGTCGACTTTGGCAATCACACCCTCTCTCACTAATTTGTTAAATTCAGCGGAAAACCTGTCATGTAGCGCAAATGAAACACTTCTACTCGATAGCGCTTTTGGTCATATCAAAAGATCTAAGGACAAGTGAGCGGTTCCCTCAAACTTTCCAAAACCTGGGCTAAACACAAACGGATACCGGTCACTAATATCGGTTTCTCCTTGGCAAACATGCACAAAACGATCATGATTAAAAGCAACAAAACCGAGAGACTGGATCAAATCAATACCGAGAATCAGCGTGAGCTCCTCCTCCACGACCATAAACTCCAGTCCATGTGAGGCTCCGTCTGTTGGGTTACCACTTCGATGGTAGCCGAGCCATTCGGATGAAGTCTGGAACCACTACACATACTCACATAATCATGATCGGATCGAGTACACGCTCCGGGACAGTGCTTCCTTGGTAGAATGTTGACAGTAGTACCTGCGTCTAACTGGTGTCGTACAGATTTGCCTACGATCAAAAGACTTGAGTAGACACCTTTTTGCGGTACCCTCCGAGACACGTTGCCAATCGAGTGTTTTACTTCTGTTAGAGACATATCACGAACGATCGCACTCAAATTGGTTGATTGGCAGCAACGAGCAAAGTGGTTCCTTTTTCCACATCTAGCGCATTTCCGTCCCCACACCGGACACTGTTCGCGGGTGCGCGGATGTGGCGTGGCGCAAAATTTGCAGATCTTCTGTCTCACCTTAGTACCCTTCGCTGCTTCGTCTCCGGAAACGGCACAAATTCCGCATCTGTCGCGAGCTCTATCTTTTTGGTATTGATAGGTGGTCGGGGACTCATTGTTGCAGATTTCAATGCACTGCTGGAGCGATAACTTGCGTTGTCGCGAAAGCTGCTTTGTCGTACTTTCATCTTTGATTCCTAGAACGATCGGAGCGCCTATGAGACTGTCGACCAAACATTTACAGTAATTACAGGATCTGGCCAAAACAATTCAATTCACTGATGTGCCCGTCCACTGATTCGTTTTGGCTTTTGTTGTGCGGAAAGAAAAAATAGCGCTGGTAGGTCTCATTGGTCTGACCTTCACAGAATTCACTGAAATTTCCAATGACCGTCAGCAAATTATTGGAATCTTCGCCTTTGTCATAATGCAATGTCACTAGAACACGGCGCGCGTCATCCGCGGCTACGTGTCGAAATATGGCAAAGCGATACGCCATCGGTTGTTCGTCCAAACGTACTAAGATGCAGAAATCCTCCCACTTGCTCTTCCATAGATGCCGATTGCTCGCCAAAATTCCGTTCATCCATGTTCAGTCGGGTAGGCATCTGAATAGACGCTGGTGATCCAGACAACATCAGACCGCCGCCGGTGGGATTCGCCTTTGTCTTCTCTGACACTACGTTGCAGAACTCAGTCCTTCAGGGACAGCCGATTTTTCGGCAAATACAGTGCAGCGAAAATTACAGCATGTTTGGCAAGCCAAACACCTCGATATAAATTGCAGGTTCAAGTCCATGCCTAACGACCACTTTGCGTCGATTAGGTTCCTTCTTTACTACAGTTAAACAAAACGGTGAATCACTCACACGAATATCTGCCAATCCGAGTTCAGTAATCGAATCCTTCATGTCCGCCTCCCATTGGCTGTCTGGCTGGCTCGGTTGATCCATCGTCTCAATCTGATCTGATAGTACCATCACAGCGTATACGAACTCGATGTTAGGTACCGAAAAACTGGGCAGTCGCCCAGGGTTAAAAAGGAATACTAACTTTGGAATACCCTGTCACTACGGTCCAATAAGACGAAAGTGCTTCCGTGTGAGAATTCGTGCGATTTCTGTTTGTCAAATTCCAGGATGTCTTCTTAATAGAATCAAGCCCACCTACACATTATTCTTCCGCTCACTTCCTAGTCTACCTCGTGTTCCTTCTAATCGCCTAGGTACTTTCAAAGTCCACGTATGTTCACAATACAATTGAAGGTGAGTTTAGAGTTGTCCTACAATGCGCCTAGTTAATCATCAACTGGTGAGCTCTAGAACGCGCTAGTCACCTTTCTACTGTTTCCCTATCTGATCACATAATTCTCATTCGGTTTATAAAACCATTTTCTATGATTTTTCTTAGCTAATGCATTGTTCTCCGATGGACAACTACGGTTTACGCAATCCTAAGATTTAGTTCCCCCAGATGAACGTTATTCTCTGATTCACGTTCAATATGGAATTTAACTTCTGCAACGAAGACCGGCTATCCAAGCAAAGTATTCAATAGTACTTACCGTGTTCAACTATAAACCGAACTTTTGAAACAGTGCGCAAACATGCTGCGGCTACTGAGGGCACCTATAGGCTTGTTTAGACAAAGACTACCATTTGACGTGTTTCGCTCTGACCGTGTCTTCAGTAGGCGCGGCGCGCTTCCTCTGACGTTTGGCCCTTCATTTCAATGTTCGTTTATTTGTTGAACACAGTAGTACTTGATCAAGGTTAAAGAGGAAAGCTATTGCTATTATGTCCATAAGTTAATTCCAGGTCACCATGACCTATTTACCCTGGGGAGGAATGCATACTAGTAGCTAGTTTTGTATTCTGCCATCGTCCTGCTATTGCGCAATCCGAGCCGTGCTTATGGGAACATTAGGTATACCATGAGCCAAATGTATTCTACAGGGCAAATAGAAAGCTGTTGATGGATTCGTTCATCTGGTTGCTCTACAGTTTGTTCATGAAGACGTTTGGTAGCAACAGCCCTAAGGTTGAAGTATTGGTCACCCCGTTTAATTGTCGTTAGTAGGTTCCATTAAACTGAAACGGAATTTTGTCTCAGTTGGTCTTGTGTGATACCAGCTTAGTTTATTACGGTTTTTATCTTTACGACATTTTGTATCGCTGATAATGAAATGTGCGTAGATGATCTATTGGCCCACTTTAATCTACACATAATACCATAACTTTCACGACTGATCTAGAACCTTAGGACTCGTTGGAATTTTAAGATGTCCAAAGAAACAGGCCATCCGACGGGTCTTTGCGGCGTAGGGTGCACAGAAAGGAAACCTGGAATGGACAATACATCCATTCCGCTAGTTTTGTTCCGATAACTCAGAAAGGAACCTCGTCTGTTGCACAACGGAGAGAGCGAGGAGAATATGTACAGATGACACACCTTTACATGAGCTGAGTTCTATACGAACCATACTCGAGCCTAATGGGTACCCTGGAAAATTCATCCAGAAGCACATGGAACCACGAGTACAAAAGCTGAAACGCGTTCCGGTGGAGGAGCGGCTGATATACTTATCGGTAACACTTAAGGGTGGTGCGATAGCAGAACGGACCACCCAAAGACTTGTCTTAGCAACAGAGGGAACATATTTGGCAACTAAGCTGCGCGTAAGCTTCACCTCAACACCAATTGTGCACCAACAAAAAGATAGCATACGTCGGTCGCAGACCTTCTACTGTGCGTAAAATTTCTCTTGCTCGTGTCGAGCAAGATGTGTTGGGAAAACGACTAGGCCACTGTCCGTTAGGACTCGACAGCGTTATCCAGCTTGGCTCTACAGCGGTGCGAGGAAGAATGAACCGGGTGCAGTATTGTGACACCTAGTGAACTCAGGCCATCAAATCGATTCGCATGATGTTCACACCAATCTACTGTGTCCCCGGACGTTAAGCACAGACAGTCAGATGCCGCTTGCTGTCGACAGTAGAGACGATCGCAATTCGGCTTCATAGCGCAGACCTTTGTGCGTATAAATCTCGTCCAATCTCTAACCCTAGCTTGGCCACAGGCCAATGCAACTAACAAAAGCGGGAATTTCCCGCTGGACCTCACGGATCCTTGCGTCACATCGCTTCTGAGACAGTTGTTTTAAGTTTTAGGGATGTTTCCTTGTTCCGTCGTATCATTCTGACACCACTTGCTCTGTGTTGTACTTGTGCTCTACTTTTGACAGTGCATGGATATATGATACGCTACTTCACATTAAGGAATGAAGGAAGCATTTAGCCATTTGCCGAAGTTGCAATCTACGAAGATTTACCGAAGCAGGAAGCTTACATATCTGCACCTATTGACTTGACTCTCCGTGAGATTAGCACTTTTATAACATTCATGCATAGCTCTTTATTCAGTTATTTTCTTAGGTGTTAATAAACTGAATATGGATGTTGGATTTTTTCTCTAGATTTAGTTTGGTTTTATCCCACATAGGGTCTTTTGTTTATCTATGTCTGCTTGTGCCTTCTTTCAGCTGCCTAGTCCCCTGGTTAGTTGGATGCAACGTAGTGAATCCTGAATTACTCGCCTTGTGGTGGACTTCAAATTTCAACTGAACTAGTCTGGGTGTCATAAAAATATTAAAACGCCAAGATGACAATTAAGCCCGTGAATGAAGCATCTGGGAGCATGATGGAGAACCTAATAAACCATTAATAGTTTTGAGATGATTGGCATCTAGCCCACAGCACAGCGACACATAACTTTCCAAGTTTTGCAGCTTGCTGACCTAGGAATTTTTCTGTGAAAATACCCTTGCCGGTTAGATGGACCATGTGACCGATAACTGTTTTCATCCTGTACACTCGAAAATATACCTCTTTACTGAAAGCGTAAGGGAGGGATATTGACACTGGAGACAGACGATTGGTCACGCTTCCCCGCTAAGCCCAATTGGGCCGTCACATTTGCTTGGGCGGTAACCACTGTTGCTAAACAGTAACACTTCTCAGCGCTCATCGGTCGAACTGCTGATGATGGACGCTAAGCTCAAAGAGGACACTGGCAACAATCGTAACCTATGCCCTCGGACGCAATCTTTCACTGAATCACTAAGTGATAATGCCACCGACATCCACGGTACACAAGAGGCCGACCAGCAAAATGCAAGGAAGCAGGGTGGGAAGACAGGCCTCTGTGGAAAAAACGACTCAGCGGAGGATGGCCTGCAATCCATGACAATTCGATCGAAGAAAATTGATATACTGTCCTCACGCAAGTGAGTACTTTCTTGCTTTATAGGTAGAACAGACGAGTGTCTGTTATTGGTACCTATAGGTTGATGAAGTTGCGTGACATTGAATACTTACTGAATGAATCTGGGCGCATACATTTTCTGTTAACCTTGGTGAAAAGTTAGTTCTGTACACAAGATACCATGTATCTATGTTACCATGAAACTACATTTCAACTTCACTGAATTTAGCCATTTGAGTTGTTATGCATAATTAGTTGACAGAAATATTAACGTCAATCTGCCTCGCAATTTAAGCAAACATACGTGTTTGTGGAAGAAATATATGGGACTTTGAAAAGCTGTTGTTGGATTCAAAACTCGGGTGTTGCCAGGATGACATTGAAGATATTGGGTTTCGTGCACGTTCGAACTCTCAACGCGTCCTCGCCATTCGAGAAGACCGCGAGGTTGTATCGGTGTTGGTGACCGTCCTACTCCAATACATGTAGCGCTCCAATGCATCCGGGTCGACTGTGACAAAAGTTAGTGTCTAGTGTGGATTTCCATACATACGATATGGTTTACCAAGTAACCATTAACTACAAAACGGATATTGAGAGAACTGGCCTCCGCTCATATCTACTTGGAGCATTGTGCTTTGTGGACAGATGACCCAGTCCAAAGAATTGCGTTTTAAAAATCGTTGGGCCGTTAGCGTAACTTGCATTTGCACTTCTCTCACTTGCGATTTTCACGATTTCGCCAGATTTTGTAAGCCTTTCTTTTCACTGCTGTTAATCAAACAGCCACGATTAGCATACAATAAAAGTGCAAGTACTTGCTTTACCTCTGGATTAAGCAGCAAGCTAAGTGTACTAAAGTTAACCTGGCGTGTTCGTGACTCCAACACACAACCATTTCCAGCCGTCACGACTCGAGTTCCGTTACGAATGAACGTCGGGATATGAAATCCCACTGAGCTCTGCGTGGGGGTGGTGACCATTACACCATCAACCACTCACCAGCCTTAATCCTACGGAGCCAATTGGGTAGATGACCAAGTCACTGGTTTGTCGGTTCAAGAATGCATTTCACGGTTCATTACTTGTTTGGTTAAAAGTACAACCTGGTCATTTGGACCACCATTTATTATGAGGCGATGTCGGGTTTGTTCAGTCACTAGGACTGCATCTGAGGCTGACAGTTCTAAGGTGCAACCTGCTGCAGTCATACTATTCCACGACTCGGTTCCCGCTTGTTTACACTTTTCAGGTAGATAACTAAAAGCTTTGACTACAAGTCAAGACAGAGATGATTGGTTACGTTTGTTGCATAATATCACAGAATAGTGAACAACGCTCGGTGTAAGTTTAAGGCCGCAATGTTGGCAACTGTCGTATGGATCACGTGTTGTATGCTTGAGATTTGGGGAAGCAGTCTCAACACGGATCGTAGGTTACTTTTAATTGGATCTCGGTTCGTGTATACTACTGGGTCGGTAGCTGAAACAGCCACATTATAGCTTACATAAACACTCCTATATAACTCTTGACAGGGACAACAAACTGCGTATTCATTCAAAGTAGGGAGGAGTGCTACGTGGCTCGTTACCTATCAGTTAACGACCTGGGTTACGAGTGAAATTACACGAGCCGTAAAAGTAGTGTTTTTTATTAAATGTTTCATGCAGCTACATTGCAAGAATTGACTGCTGTGGAAGAGTAGATACACAAAAAGCCGTAAGTGTTACCTTATGTGATGCTCGACAGACGTGCATTTGCCGTTGAAGTACGTTACATCGTTCATGTTACACATGTTGTAAATGCAGAGAAGAACAACAGTTGGCTCGTATTCCGTAGTATTAACTCTAATGGAGCCTGCGTTCAAAGAACCGGGTTACTTGCATTATTCCTGGTCATCTTATCATGAGTCCAGACTCTATTGCACGTACAAAATGCAACAACTCATTGACTGGTATATATGTGTATATGTGTATATATGTATATATATATATATATATATATATATATATATATATATATATATATAGAGAGAGAGAGAGAGAGAGAGAGAGTGAGTGGCGGCATCCCCTGTCCGGATATGCCTGTAACTGTGACCTCCACGGGCGCAGCCAAATGACCTCTGAGCCTACAGTCCCTTATTGGCTTGGATTAGTAAATCGAACGACAGTGCACGCTTCGCTCTTCTCCTCTGCGTGCAGTAGTGTCTTCTCCTAACATGGGCAATGGCCCTATTGATTAGCCCACAGAATTCGCAACGACCAAATCTGCCTTTGATTCTCAAAACCTGAAATGAACATTAGATCTTGCTAAACTCACTTTTTATGTCCTGCTGATGTTATTTTCGATTTGCCCGCGTGCCGCTTCCCTGCACCAAGTTGGCCATATAAAAGCCGTATGAATATCCTCGTCGAATACATACGGTACATATACATACATGCAGTTTGGCACAGTGACTGCAAACGCCATAGAACCTTTGCCAAACCAGCATTCACCCAACGTGGTCGGCATATCAACTGTCACTTTTACCTCAGCAGCTGTCGCTAACAAATTACGGTCTCTAAGAGAAAATAGCGCTCCTGGAGTCGACAAGATCAGACCCAAAGTTCTTAAAACTCTTGCTCCCACCATAGCAGCACACCTCGCAAGCTTTTTCCAGAGTCTACTCAATTCCCAAACACTTCCGTCTGAGTGGAAAAGCGGGATAGTCACACCGATATACAAAGGAGGTAAGCGATCGGATCCTGCCAACTACCGACCCATTACTCTCCTCCCTGTGTTATCAAAAGTAATGGAATCGTTAGTTGCAGATAAAATTACACGATATTTTGAGAGTATTAAGCTAATTTCTCACCTCCAACACGGCATTAGGCGCAAACGATCTTGCCTCACAAATCTGCTTCTTGCTCGGGATTCATGGACCAAAGCACTTGACGAAGGATCCCCCTTGATGTGATTTACCTAGACTTTTCGAAGGCATTCGACAGAGTCAATCACTTAGCTCTGCTTCATAAGCTTCATGCCTACGGTATCCATGGTTCCCTACTCACCTGGCTAGCAGCATATTTGCATGACAGAACGATCAAGGTCAGAGTCGCCGATGCCCTCTCGGAAACCCTCTGCATCTCCAGCGGTGTTCCTCAAGGATCCGTCCTTGGTCCCCTCCTTTTTCTGGTCTACATTAACGACCTCCCGGATAATATTCAATCCTTGATGCAAATTTTTGCAGATGGCGCAAAAATCTGGAGAGTTATTCACTCAACATCAGACTGTGCCCTCCTCCAGAATGATTTGGATAGAATCAACAAATGGGCAGATATAAATCACCTCCCCCTGAATCCTGCCAAGTGTCACCTACTGTCATTGCGCAGCAATCTTGTCAACACGTACCTCTTGGGGCAGTACGCTTTACGGCGCGTGACCACAGAAAAAGACTTAGGTATCATTGTGCAAGAAAATCTGGGGAATTCGCTCCAATGTTCCAAAGCAGCGAACGTGGCGAACATGAACCTGAGACTTTTGAGGCGAGTCTTTGGTGTTTTTGAACGACGGTTGGTACCCATGCTTGTCAACTCCTATATCCGTCCCCAAGTCGAATATGCCGTCCAGGCTTGGTGTCCATGGTTAAAACGAGACATGCATCTCTTAGATCAGCCCCAACGAAGAGCTACCAAGGCAACACGCGGATTATCTGGTCTCAATTATGAAGTGCGTCTCAGTTTAATCGGAATGTTTTCCTCCGAATACCGACGACTACGCGGAGATCTCATTCTCGCATGCCGGATATTAACGGAGAGCGATCACCCGTGCAAATCGCTGCTCACCCTAGCCTCATATAAGCGATCGAGAGGTCATAACCTCAAGCTGATAATCCAACACTCCCGATTAGACTGTAGAAAATATTTTTACTTTCTTAGAATCTGTTCACAATGGAATGACTTGCCAACGCATGTGGTAAACGCTCCGAACATTACATCCTTCAAACAATTGTTAGACATTCATCTGAGTGACAAACAACACATTGTGGTGTGATGTACCAGGTTTAGACTATTGGCATTTCAGTTCCATGTCGGAATCGAATGATTTTTATCTATTTGCATTTACCATCCTATGGGTCTTGTAAAGCCAATGCTTTTTATCCCATCATACACTATTGAACTATTGAACTATTAATGGGTTGATGTTATCCGTGGTCAGTGGCAGTTCGAATACTTATGCCCATGGGATTGTCCAAACTTGAGTATGAAGTGTCACAAACTGGATAGGGACAAATTAACCCACAGGAACAATAGTACCAAAAACTTGTATGGGTTTGGTATGGAGGTCAGTCTAACAGCCACTTTCGCATGCATGAGAATAAATACCCAATGCGAAATGTTGGTGTTTTCTTTAACACTTAGACGTGAACATCATTGGCAGCCTTAAATCTTGGGCATCCATATTTGAACGAACCCGATATAGGAATAGTGAAGCAACTGCCATCAGTACGGTTACTGGGTAGAATGGTAAATAAAAAAGTGCTACAGTAACATAGTGTGTACTTAGGTGTTACCTCCTGTATGTGAACTCGGACTTGCGGAGCTGTTGGAGGAGATCGCAAGCCGTGCGAATGCGCTGCGGTATTCACTTTAGGCTCTCCGTGTCGCCGATTGGTCCGGTCCTCTGCTGCCCAAGATACGTGCAGATTCTCAAAGAAAGATTGTTGCGCAAAATTAACCATTGACAGGTAGCAATACCACATATTCGCCGCTTACGGCCTCCTTAGCAGGACAACTACCACAGTAGTACATCAACTAATCCGGCTGCCCACTGTCAAGCATGTGGTTTCCCAAACAGTGTTCGCATTATTTTGAAAATGTCCAAAACAGCATGACTACCATCTAAGTACACAACAGTTTGTACATACCTATGTGTACTCTGCTGTGGCCATAAGTTATTTGGTAACGATCTGCATCGTACTTCTCGTGTGCAGCCATTCGGCGCTCCTAAAACCATTGTCGTTATGCGCCGATTCCTGTCCGA